CGCACCGACTGTGCCTGCGTCTTGCCTTCGCAGCTCGTGTCCCAGTGCCGGCTTCTGCTGCAGCTCGGAGGTCTTTGGAGATCCACAGCTCCTGGCCCCCAGCCTGTGCTCAGCGTCAGCTGATTTCTCCTTCCTTCTTGAATTGCTGTATTTAACGTAGGACGCTGACCCTCCTTCCTGGGATGCTGCAGTGTTCCACCCACGGATCTCTGTGCTCGGCTTCTCATGCCCCCCTTCTCAGTGACGTGGGCTTCCCGTGCTCCCCTCCTGAGTGAAGTCCTCCAGCCCTAGGACCTGATGAGGTGCAGGTTGACTGCGTCTGTGTCTCTGGTTTTTTGGTTTTGTACACAAGGTCTCCACTCAGATACTGTCTTCATTCCTTTTCCGCTGTTGTGACAGAATACCAATGTCTGAGTAATCTGCAAAGAAGAACAGTGTGCTTGTTTTCTGGATCTGAAGGCTTGGGCTGCTTGATAGCCTGGTGGTGACATCTGACAAGGCCTCTGACTGCATCCTAACGTAACAGAAGAGCAGTGGACACATGCAGGGTGGAGCAAGGAAATCAGGCAAGGAGTTGCCTCAGTGCTGACAAACCCAGTGCTACAATACAAAGCGTTAATCCACTCTAGGAGCCCAACTGCAGTGGTCAGATCAGCTCTTAGAAGCTCCACCTCTGAATAATTGCTGTCTTAAAGATATTCTCATTTGTGCGAAAGAATGGGTTACACAAAAATGGAGAAACAGAGAAAGATCTTTCATTTGCTGTTTCACTCCAGGTGTTTACAATGGCCAAGGTTGGGCCAGGCCAAAATAGGAGCCAGATGTTCCATTCAGGTCTCCCAAGTGGGCAGCAGGGGTCCAAGCATTCGGTCCCACTCACATTGCTTTCTGAAGCCAGTTAAGAAGGAGCTGGATCAGAACTGGAGTGAGTGGGACTTGAGCTGATGACCATGTGGGATGGGAGTGTGGTAGGCAGAGCCAGCTTGCTGTGCCACGATAGTCTCTTCATTAAGATATTAAGAGGCTCCCTCTCCTATTATCTTTACAATTAAATTTTAGCAGGAGTTTTAGAAGGGGTGTCCCGACCATAAGCTTTCCAGACATGGAGTTCTAGGCGGCTCTTTGGATTTCTTGTACACTTTGCCACCTTCTGCAAACGCGTGTGTTCCCCGGTGCCCCCTTCTCAGTAAATGCTGCCACCATTCTGGTCATTCAGGAATTCAGCTAGCAGCACTCTCACTGCATCTTGAGCTGACTCCTGGGCTCCTGGCCCACGCGCGTGTACCACTCTGGCCCTGCCACCTTCTGGCTAGGCCCCGCCTCACGGTGCCTCGTGATGCCTTCTGAACACGGCTGGCTGGGTCTGGTCTGAGGCCTCCTGAGTCACCCTCACCCCAGCATCCAGGGCCCTTCTCACAATGTCTACTTTGGTCTCTGCCCTCTCGTGCAAGTTTCTCTCCCTTGGCTTTCCAGCCTCGCCTCCAAAACCCGAGGCCAGCATCATGGATCTGGGTTGGTAGGGTGTGCTCCTTGACAACGCAAGCATGGTGGTCTCCTTGCTGTCCAGCAGGTTGGCTCCTGGTTGTAAGTGCTGGCTCCCACTTACTTGCAGCTAGAAAGAGCTGCAGTATGTGCCGCTCACCGATTCGGTGATTACTTGAGCTGTCTATGTGCTAAGCCCCGTGACTGTTATGGGGAATACAGCAGTGAACAAAACAGGGGGGAAGAATTCCGCTAAGCTTTGTAGAGCTTGCTCTCCAGTGGGAAAAGCAGGCGATAAATAAAGCAAAACCTGCCTGACAGGGCTTCCAAGGATTTATTCAGACTGGCGATATGACAGCAACTTGCCAATTAGAAGCAATCCAGGGTTGCTGGGAGAAATCTGGCACTCTGTTTTCTTAATAAGAAACAAAAACGGCCCCCAAGGCGCCAGCACAATCGTCCAGGCCACACAGCTGCTGCCTTCTAAGGACCCCGTTGCTAGGACACCGCTGAGCGTGGCAGAGCAAGGGGCCACTTTACACACTGGGGACACTTCTGGTAGGATGATGCTCCAACAGCCATGCATCTAAATTCAGTTCTGAAATGTAGAGGGATGGATTGGCCCTAAAAAAGAGAGAAATGTGTCTGTCGAGTTGACTTTTAAAATAATTGAAAACTCAATAATGTGATACCTCTGAAAGAGGATTTATCCGATTTATGATATGAAAAAGTTGATCTTTTGTGGTAACATTTAGAGTTCATTGTCAGCTGTATTCTTCTGAATGATTCTTGACTTTTCAGGGAAACCTAAACAACAGCTTCATTTGCTCCGCGCTTCTGCAGTGCATCTTCTGCCGTTCGTTCTTGCTGTTGTCTTGCCAGTGCAAGCTATCACTACCATTACTTGGGGAATTTGACTCCGAGGGTGTGTCCAGTCTGAGATTTTTGGAATCACGTCCAGTCATTTTCCTTGACCCTGAGGTGTGGGCCGGGGGAGGAAGGACCATCTCACCCACAGTGTTAGCTTTGTCCTAAAGGTCTGTTCCAATGACACCCGCGAATGGCAGCAATCAAATGATTTTTACTTCACTAGGCAGAAGTGAGGCAAAGTACGTAAGGAATAAGATTAGATATGTATCAAGGTACTGCTCGTTTAGCTTTATGAGGGAAGTAAGGCTTTATGAATGAAAATTAACAGGTTGCTGTGTAGAAGTGAGGTGCCGAGCTGGCAGCCTGTTCTCACTGTGAATAGTACCACAAGGCGACAAGAACTGCAGGAGAGTAATGCTACATGCCTAAATCATTCTCACATCGCTGAGCCGCCAATGAGATTGACCTGCTCCAGAACAGTAAGAGCACTGGGCGTTGCTAAGCACCGCTAACACTCGCTGAGAACGATGCAGACGAACGTCGCCCAGTGTGCCGTCGCAGAGTTGGCCAGCTGCCCCAGGTTGGGCAGCTGAGTGTATCTTGCATTTTTATCACATGCTCAGAATGTGTGCTCCGTGTTTGTGCACCTGCCGATTCATGCTGCTGCTCATATGAGTGACATCCCAGGCTTGCAGGTAGCTAGGATCGTAGGACATCCCAGTGCTGGTCACTGTGGGCAGTTAGACACAGACTGCGATGGCTGGACATCCCAGTGCTGGTCACTGTGGGCAGTTAGACACAGACTGCGATGGCTGGACATCCCAGTGCTGGTCACTGTGGGCAGTTAGGCACAGACTGCGATGGCTGGACATTCCAGTGCTGGTCGCTGTGGGCAGTTAGGCACAGACTGCGAAGGCTGGACATCCCAGTGCTGGTCACTGTGGGCAGTTAGACACAGACTGCGAAGGCTGGACATCCCAATGCTGGTCGCTGTGGGCAGCTAGGCACGGGCTATGATGGCAGGACATTCCCAGATCTGGTTGCTGTCTGCCAAATCTGCATGCTTGTCAGCAGCATTGGAAGTCCCCTGTGCCTGTTTCTGGAGGGCCCCATTGGGTGACTCTATAGGAGAATCCAACAAGTACCAAGCCTTTCCTCTGCCTCAGGGGCCACTGCTTTGTCTCTGAAGCAGATAGCCCTCCCCGTAGCCTAGGCTGGCCTGCTGAGGAGAAAGGAGGAGACAACCCCTCCTAACACCGGTTCTCATTGTGCTGGTCCAGTTGCCACCGGGACCGATTGGGACTCCCACGTTCCCATTTACTGCAGCAAAGGTGGAGAATGAGCCTCCTGATGGTACTTCGTGTCGCTAGTCCAGGAATAGAGGGAGACTGACTGTTAGGCTCTTCGTTGCCCACCACAGTTCTCTCCAGTGAACCCTGAAGAAGGCTAAAGCCAGTGTCCCTTTTCTTGGAAAGAGTCTACCAAAAGACAGAAAGAATGAAGAGGGTCATCTCTGGGCAGGAAGAGCAAATGTTCATGGTATTATTAGCAGTCCATTCTGTGCTCATATTCTTTGTCAGTGTTCCAGACTCAGTGAGCTCAGTGTGTTTGGCTTTCTGTACTTCCAGATGACATGTCTGTTGTTTGCAGAGAGCTCCCTCTTAACCCGAGTCTCCTGGGCTAGCCTCCCTAACCAGCGTTCTTCCTACCCAGAGTCTCCCTAGCCAGTGTTCTCAGCAAAGAAGGTGGGCCTGGAAACTCGTAAGATCTCCAGGCACTGTGTATCTGCACAGCTCTTTTGATCGCATGCACCGAAGTCTTGGATAAATTCCGTTGTTTGTATTGAGTTTGATTTTCTGATATTTTGTTAAGTATTTTAGCTGAACCAGGACAGTGATTGCTTAGTGATCATTTCGTACTGATAGTGAGCCTGAGTGTCCAGGATGTGTCGGGGGCATTTCTTCACATGTGGCATGCTCCTCCTGCACCTGCTGTTTCCGAGCTGCTGTCCAACTCTTGTTCCTGGAAACCGAGAACAGACTTCTCGCCTGCACACTTCCCTTCTGAAACTTCTGTCCTGCCTGTGAAGGAACTACCAGTGGAGGTTTGGGGATTAATTCTCTGCTTCTCTCTGATGCTACCACACGAGTTTCTCCACTGCCAGGCGCAAGTCGGCACTGAGTGCAAGAGAGCAGGGCAGGAGGCTGGCATGGATGTTCCTGACATCTGCCACCAGCCTGCAACTAGCTCCTGATGGGAATTGAAGGACGTGGTTACGCAATCAGGGCTTTTCCCCTTTCTTCTTACATAGAACCTGTTGTTACAGAGTTTGTGTTCTTAAAAAGTAGCAGAACAAAATCTGACAAATTTGCCCCATATTTATTGAATACAGATAACTTCCTTTCTTTGAAAAGAGAGGAGGTGTTGATGCGAATCCCTTCTGTGCTTACTGGTTCTTATGACCACATCAGAGACCTACTACTTGCCTCACTTATGTAAGATAACCATCACAGCAGAAACATGTCAACAGCTGGCTGCAGTGGGCTGATTCCAGAGCAAAGGCTTGCACAAAGCCAGGCTCTGGTGCGTCTTGCTGTCCAGAAATGAAACAAATCACAAATGTGTTCCATGTTGACTTTCTGTGGCAGGACTGGGAGTTCCCACATTTCATGGGCGACGTGGACGTGAATCTTCCTGGGCTGCACACACCTCACATGCAGTTCAAGATCCCCTTCTTCCAGAAGATCTTCAAGGAGGAATACCGCATCCATATCACAGGTACATCTCAAGGCTGAGCACAGCTGGGCCCACAGGGGGCTGTGGGAAGCCCCACATGCCCCCAAGTTCCCCTTCTCACTGACAGAGCCAGGTGCCTCCCTGCCTTTCGGTCCTATCCTGGTGTCACCCTGAGGTGTGGGCTGCCAGTGGCCCTGAGAGTGTTCTCATTCAGACGTGGACAAGCAGGAAGGGAAAGAATGGGGGAAATTGTTATGTTTCCCTTCTCTTTGCAGGGAAGAGTGATGGGCAGAGAGGGAGGGCTGGAGAAGGAGAGTCTCCATTGCTGGTCTGCTCCTTGCACTCTGTCCTCTGTGAGGCCTGGACTAGGCTCAGTCTCCATTGCTGGTCTGCTCCCTGTGCTGCTGTCCCCTGTGAAGCCTGGACCAGGCTCAGTCTCCATTGCTGGTCTGCTCCTTGCACTCTGTCCTCTGTGAGGCCTGGACTAGGCTCAGTCTCCATTGCTGGTCTGCTCCCTGTGCTGCTGTCCCCTGTGAAGCCTGGACCAGGCTCAGTCTCCATTGCTGGTCTGCTCCCTGCACTCTGTCCCCTGTGAGGCCTGGACCAGGCTCAGTCTCCATTGCTGGTTTGCTCCCTGCACTCTGTCCCCTGTGAGGCCTGGACAGGCTCAGTCTCCTTTGCTGGAGGGTAGGGACTCCAGTACTTGCTCTGCTCTCCCCAGGTGTACTGACAGGGAGTTCCATGGGAAGCGGAGCTGCTCCCATGGGACAGTGACATTTTAGCCTGCTGCACCATGGCCTCCCCGCCCCTGTCCCCTGCCTCTTCCTGTCTAGCCTGGGGAAGAACCTTGTCTCCCACACTCAAATTCTGTTGGTGGTAACTGGTAGACAGGCTCAGGTGCAGCCAGCAAGAACAGAGATGTGCTGTTCCCAGTGGGCAGCTGCGGCCATGGCCAGCCAGGTCTGGTGGTCTGGACACCTCCTGAGGAGGAGAGGACAAGCCTGCTGTGTGTGAGGAAGCTCCCCCTTCCCGTGTTTGCTGGAGACATTTCACTCTTGGCCTCCTGCTCAGTATGCATTCCCAGCATTCCCTGCTCAGCCTGTCTTTATTGCAGAGAGGGACGCAGCAGGGCCCCGGCACCCCCGCCCCCACAGCCCACCTACACTTGGAGATTGAGGTCGTTTCCCACTGAGGACCTCTAGCCCACGGGGTGCCCAGGTGTGTCTCAGGGATTCTCTCGTGGAGCCCCACATCCTTTCATTTCCAGTGGTTTCTGCCTTTGAAATGGCCCAGGTATGATTTGCGGCAGTGTCCTTTCACAGCATCTGCTTCATTTTCGTGTAAGATGGACTTCCTCACGCCTTGTTCTGTGATGGTGAGAATCTGAGTGATCATGGATGAAGGACGGCATTCGTGCCCAACCCGTGGCAATGCACATGCTGAGGGGCCGTGCTTTGGGGACAGTAGCCCGGACACTCCCGCCTGTTGGCCTGGAGGCTGTGGAGGAGATCTGTGTCTGCATGGGCCGTCTGTGCTGCTGAGTGGAAACAGTGCAAGCTCAGACAACGTGAGCATCTGAATTCTGCAGAAAACCTCTGCTGCCAGCAAGGAGGCTGTGCTGCCGTTAGTACGCACCGTCGCTGCCCTCAGAATGAGCTCATGAACAGGGAAGCCACAGCCTGTCTCCCTCCTCGCTGTGAATGAGGCCTAGCTAGCACATTACCCAGTAAACTAATCCATTTGAGTTCTGGTCACATCATGGCGTTTCAGAGTCCCCATTTAATCTGTGCAGCACGCAGCCCTCCCAGATGCTAACACAGCTATCATACACATGGTGGCTCGCGTCCCTCCAGGGGCCCTCGCCTGGGCCATCTGTTCCTGCTACCCGCTCTGTCCCTGGCCGTCATCGCACCAATGTTGTCTATGACCGAGTCCCAGAACATCTGTCAAAAAATGTATCGCTTAACAGCAGAACACCATGGTTTAAGAAGAGAACTAGAGGACAATATTAGTAGGGGAAGACCGAGCAGTTACAGGTACTCTATGTGGGGTTATTTGGTGTGGTTTTGGTATACTCACGTGCATTGCGATTAAATGGGCAGGGCAGATTCTGTGTCTGATGCTCCGAGTTTACACGGCTTGGAATGTTCAGAGAAAGGACAACATTGCATCTAAACATTCCATCCAGGGCCTGGGAAGTGAGCCCCGGGGCGGGACAGCCTGAAGCTGCACTGTCCTTAGTGTTAGATATGTGCAGAGAGGTGCAGACACCTGACTTGCATTTTCTCTCAGCGCACATTCTAAAACTTGGAAGGCTGGGAGCAGGTAATTGGGCCCTGGCTAAGACACCTGCATCCCATCTTGCCCAGGTCAGTTCTCAGCCCTGGTTCCTGACTTCAGCTGCCTGCTGATATGTACCCTGGGGGCAGCGAACTCAAACGGTGGATTCCCTGCTGTCCGTGTGGGAGGCCTGGGTTGAGTTCCTGGCTCCTGGCTGCTGGCAGTCCCAGCCCTGGCGTTTGCTGTCCATGTGGGAGGCCTGGGTTGCGTTCCTAGCTCCTGGCTGCTGGCAGTGCCAGTCCTGGCCTTTGCAAAGTGAACCCGTGGATAGAAGCACTCTTCAGCCTTTCAAATAAATAGATATTTTAGTAAGTTTTTCAGTAAGAAAGAATAGCTGGATTTTTGTAGTGGAGCCTGCATGTGAATGAGTTTTGCCAGAAGGTGGGAGAAGAATTAAGGCTCTGGCGGAGTGTTTGGCCAAATCCCTGGAGAAAGAGCCCCTCCTCCCAGGTGGTTCCTGCCCAGCAGGTCTGGCTCAGGGACAGGGGACTGGGAACGGGCCAGTGGGAGTGCTGTCCAGGAGAGGACAAGAGTCCAGGCTACACCGGTGTGAGTGGGAAGCCGCAGTGGAGGCCTGAGCGTCTTTCCACTGGCACATGTGCCCAGTGGACAGCTCAGACCTGACCGGGGGCGCTACAGGCCTCTGAAGATCAAATTCAAGATAGCACAGAGAGGGTGGAGCTGGTGGGCTGGCAGGCTCCACCATAAGCAGTGGGTTAACCCGGTGGAGTCAGCACTCCCTCAGGCCTGTGAGAAAGCATCAGCGTTTTACAGCAAGGCTCAGCTGCTGCACACAGGCAAGGAGGATTTAGATGCAGTGAGTCCTGATCTTAGAGACACAAGAACCCTTCCAGGCTGCGCAGTGTCCTGCCGTCCATCAGGTGACTGGCACACATGCATGGGCTGAAGTGCCAGGCCCCACTCTGTATTTTGTCACAATCTGTGTCTTTGTTCACAAATGTTTTCTGAGTCGCAGTGTGTTGGGAGCTGAGCTAGAATCTGGGCAACCCACAAATCAGTGTGACGTGGTTCCCGTGGCTAGCAGCGTCCCTGCCCAGGTAGGCCGCGTAGGTTCATGGCTATGGTTCCTGCTGTGCTGTGGACGCTGGAGCTCGCTGCTGCCTCCCGAGCATGTTTGTCCAGCCTCTCTCTAGCCGCCTCCCCACCTTTCCCCAGCTCTGTAGGTCACTGGTGTAGGTTCAGACTGCCTACCTCTTGGACTTCCTATGTTAAGATTACCTGCTGATGGAAACATAGAAAAACAAAACATCAGGTGAAAGGGATCTTTAAGAGCACAGGTTACAGGCCAGTGGTCCCCCGACGCCGTCCTGCTGCCGGGACTTCTGCTTGTCTGAGCTCAATCTCTCCAGGTTACAGAGTGGCATCCCGGGTCAGGCTCGTAGCACAGCCTCGGGTTCCCCTAGACCACCTGAGGAGACCTAGAGAGAAGCTAACCCGTAAGACACCAGGACAGCAAACCGATGGATGCACTGACCGTCGGGCCAGGATGGGTCATTCAGCTGTGTGGAGGCATCCCCCAGCATGGCTCAGTCCCCACGTTCAGGGCTAGCTTGCCGAACAAAAGACTTTAAACGATTGAAATTGCTCATTTGATTCAGGAGAGGGTTCTTACAGCATGGAAATGTCAGCCCTTAGAGTCTTTTCCCTAGTGGAAAAAAATAATACCTTTCCTCAAATCATTACCATTTGCTTTATTAGTGGATGGTGACATTTAATGAATAATCCTTTCAAAATTAACCATCCAGGATTCCATAAACTCCCACAAAGAAACAAGATAGAATTCTCCATCATGTTATCGTTTTTTGGCCATCAATAATGCTCATTAAAAGCACAAAGTGTAAGGAAAAAGTCATCCCACCAATACCACACAGTGATTTCTCATTAGAGAGTCGGTGAGATGTTCCGGCACGGAGATAAGGGAAACCACATGAGGGTTCCACTTGCAGAAGCGCTGCAGTGTAAATGTGGGGGCCCAGGCCCTGTGTGAAACAGCGGCTGTGGGGTGCTTCCTGTGTCCTCCTTGGCTCAGCCCCACCGCATGGGGACACCTGTGGCTCTCAGCGCTGAGGTGAGCCAGCAGGGTTGTTGAGTTCTTACACAGGCTCCACTTTAGTGCAGAGGTTGCCTGGCCCATCATGAAAATGAAGGTTGTAGTGGTGCGTGCCCCGTCAGCCTTGTTACCAGAGAAGCTCTGTGGGCCCCTTCCTCAGCTTAGTGCAAAAATAAAAAGCCGGGAATCGGCTTTGCAAAGAGAAATTCTATTTGCAAAGTGACCAGGTGAACACAGAAAGAATAGGGAAGCGGGAAGTACCTCCTAGGAGAGTGCGGGAGGTGGGGGGCTCTTGTAAAGAGAGATTAAAAAGAATCTCAGGACTTTAAGCATTCCTGGCCCCTCCTTGTCTGGGCGGGAACCCGTGGGGAAGATGATCCCCATTGGTGGTCTCAACCTGTTAGGAAGTGGTTGGAAAATTGCTGTGCCACTCCCTGGATGGTGTGGCCAAGATTTTAGCAGAATAAGCAGTCTCATTCAGACTTCACGGGAGAAGCTCCCGGATGGCCAGGAACAAAGGGCCTTTGTTTTCTGACCTGCCTGCACCATTCAGGGCCAAAGGACCCACTTTAGGTGGGGTGAGTGTGGGAAGATGGGAGGCCCGTGACAGAGGCAGCCTTGCTCTGCGCGGATGGAGAAATGGACTGAGCCTGCATCGCCCGGCCAACAGCAGCACGAGGCGTGGGCTCTGGCAGAGATGAGCAGGGGCCTGCCTCCCTCCCTACTGCCCCCAGTGCCCATCTCCCACAAGGCAGGGCACTGTTACACTATTTCCAGAAAGGGACTGTAGACATAAAAGACCATTGCCCGTGGTTAGTGCCAAGGCAAACTGCAGACCCCGTGCCCCTGGCTGGCAGGAGTTAGTACCTTCCGCAGCTAACTGTAGGACTGTTTCCATGGAGCTGCACCCCGGGTCCCGGTTGTCTCTGGCCACCTGTTTGCTGCCTGTAGACGTTCCTGGGCAGTACTAAGCTCTGTCGTAGCCAGCAGTGTGCGTGCCCTCAGGACACGCGCTCGTCGCCAGCCTTGCGTGGTGCCCTGTTCACTGCCCACCTCTCACCCAGATCCTGTATGATCATGACAAAAGAGGCAGAGAGAATCTGAGAAATAATAGCACCCTGATTTTTGGCAGATGGATTGAATTTTAAAGCACTTCCGATTGAGTCCTCATTTTGCCCTCACACGCACGGAACCGCGCATGGTACTTACACTGGCGTAAGTCTTCATTTCGTGGAACGAGAAAACGGGATTCTTTGCCCTGCTGGTGAGGGGAAGGAGCCGTGGGAGGAAGGCAGGAGTGCAGGGCTGGGAAGCTTCTGATTCCATTTCTTCCATTTGCAAACAATCTTTGCTGTGGGCTGGAGAGGGTCAGGCGTGCTCCTTGTGTCCAGCGGCCAGCAGCTCTGTCTCAGGACTCGGGTCAGCAGGGTCCATACACCCTGTCCTCGCAGTGGAGAAGTGCTGCCGCAGGACAGCCGGATCCCGCAGAAGGAGGCACCTGCACCCTTGGCCACTCCTTTACTCACTGTCAGGGAATCGTGGTTGTCGGGCTGGCCCAGGCACCGTCATCCTCCTTCCTGACTCTCTGTCATGCGTCTGATTCCTGCTGTCTTGCCCCTCTGCCTGTGCATGACCCTGCAGGACAGTCCTGTGATGTGTGAGTTTAGGATAAGACACCCCCAATCCTGTTTCTCCCAGGAAGGTGATATTCAGTCACGCTGGCGAGCTCCAGGGCCTGCCGCTGTCCCTTGGCCTGGTTCCTTGGCTGAAGAAGAGCCCAGGCCTCATTCTGACAGGGAAACTGCAAATCTACATCTCCCTGGCATCAGATGAGCCTCTCTGCCCCGCTCCTGCCACTCGCCCAGTGCTGTTCTCTGCCCTGCCTCGCTCGCGCTCCTCGCAGCACTGCCATGGTTTTCTGCGTGCTCCTCGCAGCACTGCCATGGTTTTCTGCCTGCTCTCGCAGCACTGTCGTGGTTTTCTGCCTGCTCTCGCAGCGCTGTCATGGTTTTCTGCATGCTGTTGGACCTGCAGTGTAAATGAAGGACAAGCTGAGGGTTTCCTGGTTGCGCTCCATCTTGCTTTGCCTTCCAGCACCCTGTGAACTGCAGTTTTCTCCAAGGCTTCTGCTGAGGACGTTGTCCCTGGGTGGAGCTCCAGCTCTCTTCTTCTGTGCTGCTTTAGGCCGGGCTGTCTCTGGCTGCTTATGGAGGCTCTGTCCTGCTTCCCAGCAAACAGGGTCCCAGAGGCCACTGCTGCCTGCCGGAGCCCTGTCTTCTGTGCCGAGGTCGTACTGACGTCTGCTGACCGGCCACTGCTCATCTGTTCTGTTAGCTGCTGTTCCGTGAAGCTGAGCTGGAAAGACACACAGAGCATTGTTTCCAGATAGAGTGACGCATTTGTATCATGTTGACTTGTGAAGTTCCAGCTGCGATGCACCTGCTGGCGTGAAAGGAGAAGCCACTGTGGCTTGCGGGCTGCCCTGATCACAGGAGAGCAGCAGGTCCTGATTCTCTCATGGCAGAGATGCACTTGGCCCCTAAAAGTCTCCCACAATGCTGCATGTCTAATGAGTACTTCTCTTTACGGAACATAAAGAAGCTGAGCTGGAAGGACTTAAGCCACTGCACGCAAGTCACACAGCTTGTAGATTTTGGTGTCAGGATCAATACCTTGGTTTCTTAATAGGAACTCGAAAGTAAATACTAATCATGAAGATGAGGCGCCTTCCTAAAATCACTATGTCTGAACAGTTTATGCAATCTTGTGGTCTGTTAGAGTATATTTTTAATACATATTCATACAAAGTAATATCTTGGCAATGTTCTGCAGTTTTAACATCAAGTACCAAAGAAAATAATCTCGGGCTAATACATAAAACTAAAAAGTGTTCTGCAATCTGTGGCATATGCCACCTGATGTGTTACAGTCGGCTCTTTTATCAGGATAGACTTGATATTGTAAAACTTACAAGAAATTATGACATATTATTATGGAACCTGGCATCCCTTGACAATTTCCCATGTGCATTGCACTCGTGTCTTTTCACTCGTCAGTTTATCACTGAGCAATGTCTGACTTGGATTAGAGTGTATATACTACAAAGGAATCACAGTTACAAGCTCCACGGATTGTGTCTTTTAAATCAGTCATTCATTTTGGGTATTTATATGTCTGACAAAAGTGTTCTCTTCAGTGAAAATTTGGTGCAATTACTTTTAGACCTGAATTGAATGCTCAAGGATTATTGATCTGAACCACACCGACTAATGGTTTAATCAACAGGTCACCTCCAAACAGCACTGTGAATTCAATTGATACACTGCTGTGCTTGCATTGTAAAATGATTTATTTCTTGCCCAGACATAATTATAGAACTGTAAGAGATGTTCAGTCACACGTAGGACTTTTCTACAGATTTCATTAGAACTTTTATTTTCAATGCTAATTGAAATGTTCTGCATGGAACCAAGCCTGAGTGTGCCTGGGGTGCCCAGAAAGCAAGGAGAGGTCCTCCTGTTCGTGCTTCTAGTGAAAGTGCCATGACTGGCTCAGGGACCTGCCACTGCCTTTTTCAAAAGCCCAGAATCCATGTAATGAATTCCTTTTGCCAGTCTGCTCACTGCCAGCACAGTACTCCCAAAGATTGGCTCTTAGCGGGCCCAAAGCACCAGCAATTTGTCCTATCGAATACCCATGCCTTCATTTCACTGGCCAAAACTCAATGGGTTATTGGTTAATGCAGTGTTTCTCTTCTTTAATGCAGGTAAATGGTTTAACTACGGGATTATCTTCCTCGTCTTGATTTTGGATCTTAATATGTGGAAGAACCAAATATTCTATAAACCTCACGAATACGGGCAGTATATTGGTCCAGGGCAGAAGATCTACACGGTGAAAGATTCAGAAAGCCTAAAGGATTTGAACAGAACCAGGCTTTCCTGGGAGTGGCGGTCCAATCACACCAACCCTCAGACCAATAAGACATATGCAGAGGGAGACCTTTTCCTGCACAGCAGGTTCACAGGCGCCAGTCTCGATGTCAAATGTCTGGCTTTTGTTCCCAGCTTGATTGCTTTTGTGTGGTTTGGATTCTTCATCTGGTTCTTTGGGCGGTTTCTGAAAAATGAGCAGGGCATGGAGAACCAAGACAAAACTTACACTCGCATGAGAAGGAAATCCCCGTCAGAACACAGCAAAGACATGGGGCTAACTCGAGAGAACACCCAGGCTTCAGTGGAGGACCCGCTGCACGACCCACCCATGGTGTGCATTGGGCCCGACTTCAATGAGATCGTCTACAAGTCTTCACACCTGACATCGGAAAACCTGAGCTCGCACCTGAAGGAGGCAGCTGGCGTGGCAGAGGCCGGCCAGGAGCCCGTGACCCCCAAAGGCTCCCCGACGAACTAGAGCCCCTCACTCTGGGACAGCACAGCAGCAGCAGCCTTGAGTGCAACTTTAGAATGTTAGTCCTTCCTTTTGTCAATGTCAGGTTTACGTAGCATTAGAAACACAGATGATGCCACAACGGTGCTCTACATGCTTTTTCTAGAACCCCTTGTTTTGTATTTGTATTATGATCCACGTGCCTCCAGTACATCCAACAGTCCTCTAAAGGCTGCTTTCCCTCCGCACAAGCTGCTTCCTGATGTCACAAGGCGGTAGAAGACCCGAGCCTCGACGTGTCTGATGTTCAACCATAGTGGTGCCTTGAGACAATGAAGTGTCTCTCACTGTAGCAGAAATGAGTGTGGGACAGGGCAGTTTTGTGCACACTTGTTTTGATCCCCCTTGATGTCTGAGCTGAGTGGCTCTGGAAGGCTGTGCGTCTCTGACTGGACAGCTGGGGTGCAGGGAAGCCGGGCTGGGGGGCGTTTACCTGTTAATTTCCATTGGCTGTCAGCCAACTGGGAACATGAGAAAGAAGTCTCACTTGTAGGACTGTCGTCCAACATGGGTCACTGCTCGTGAAATGTGACTTTCTCCAGCCAGTAACTGTAATTAGGCAATAATACCTAATTATGTTTTCCTAATTAAAGATATATTGCTACTTCATTAAAACTCCTGCCCTTCGCCTTTGGGAATAAAGGTTAAGAGGTGCAGCTGGGTGAACTCTCAAGTGTATTGGCGTTCATAGCAAGTCATGGACGAGCAAGGACTGTGGTTGCCATCAAGTCCACCGTCTCCAAAGCTTGGGGTCCCTGGGCAGTTGGGGTTGGAAGACGCAGGCCAGTGCTGAGCCAGCGAGCTGCTCCGATGGGAGGCTTGTGGAGTGGGGAAAGCAGTGCATGATGGCATCTGTTCTAGTGTCTTGTTCTGTGCGTGCGTGTTTTTGTTTTTTTCAAGAACGGACATCACACATTAATAAATGAGAATTACACCATAGTTATCTGATGTTGGTTTCTGGGGACAAGTCAGTGGTGTCTTAGCTGAAGCGTCCATCAGAGAACGTTTCCCTAAAGCTTGTGCCTGGTGAGTTCACAAGTGGAACGCCTCTGAATCACATCGCGTCTGCTTGAGGAAGAGAGAGGAGATCAGAATTAAGACAAAATTCTTTTCTTGTCACATGCTGACATAGCTGAGTTTTGTCTTTGTGATTTTTTTAAGTCTCTCTTTCTTTGATCAATCTGTTCCCAAGCTTGCAGCGTGCTGAACTGAGCGTGCAAAACCAAACTATGCATTTACCCGTCACTGGAGACCAGCTTTAACACACGGCTTTCTTCTGTTGTCTACTCAGCAGTTGGAACTGTGCACCTGCTGCTGCTTTTGCCTTTAAGAGTCATGCGTGGTGCTACCTAGAATCATAAATATCTCTGATACTAAAAATGCCGTCAAAGATCGCCTTGGTGGTACGCTGGCCAACACGCAGGCACGTTCAGAAATCCACAGCCGAGGACCTATGGGCCAAGCAGACAGTACTGCTGGGGCCATACTTTTTTTATTGATTCTAAAAGTTACTATCTCAAATGAGCCCAAAGGAGTAAATTTAGAAAGTAGAATTGTAATAAAGCAATTTAAGCCTAGCCTGTGACTCTGGCATCCCCTGTGAGCTCTGGTTCAAGCCCCAGCTACTCCACTTTCGATGCAGTTCTCTGCTAATGCACCCACGAGGGCAGCAGAAGATGGCCTGCCTGATTGAGACCCACTTGGAGTTCTAAGCCTTTGGCTTCCATCCGGCCCAGCTCTGGCTCTTACAGTCGTTTGAGTAATGAGCCAGTGGATGCAAGAGCTGCTTCCCCACCCCAGGTCTCTGCAACTGTGAACTCAAAGATTGTGTTCAAGCTGAGCGAATTACCTAGAAGGCTGGCTGGTTGGTTGGGCAGCTGGAGCGGCGATGTATGGTTAAAGGGCAGATGAGTGAGGGATGGATGGATGGATGCATGGATGATTTCTTCAGCATTCAATCATTGAAATAACTCTGTGTCTACCCAGGAAGCGTGGTGAAATGTAGCAAAGGATGAACGGGACCTGTGAAACTGCAGAGGTAAGACCTGGAGGGGAGTGGTTCCATGAGAAGAGAATGACAAAAATTGTCCTAACCATCCAGAGAGACTCAACCATCCTAAAGGAAAAGAGCTAACCTTGGGCCAGGCCTCCTTGTAAGCAAATCAGCAGCAGCGAAAACTGGCATCTTTTACACAAAAATGCCTTTCAGGTGCTTATCTGAAAAACGTTTAGTGAGAAAGTTGTATTACTTAGATGTGTGTAAAGTGCTGCAGCATTTTAGCTTGGTGTGGGTGTTAATAGGACATTTTCTTCTCCACTCTCGGCCAGGATGAGTTTTCTGAAAGTTGTAAGTTTCTTACAACCAAATAACTATACAGTGACTTAACTGTGATGGACGAGGTTGCTGAAACTCATATTTGAGGATTATATAATCAAAGCCAATTTTTAGATGTTCCAGATCTCTTCCTTATTCGTGTGTTAGCAATTCTATCATTTTAGGAGTTTCTATGTGCAAGTAAATTATCCCTCTTAATCCCCTTAGCCACTAAAGGTAAGCAGGGCTAACGTCATTCTACGGAGGATGAGCATCAGGCCCAAGGTACAGAGCTGGCCTTTTGCAGAGTGATACTGAAAATCAGGCTTGCCTGATTCCAAACATTGTAATTTGCTGTTTCAAAAGGTATCTGCGATGAGAATGACCTGGTGAGCCTAAGGTTTTTCTAGCAGTTCTTATCTCCCAAGAACCTACATTAAATATCCATTTCTAGCAGCTTCCTGGATTTATTTTACAAGCTAAATGGTGTGATGGAAGTGGAAAAAGCTGATTTAAGTGACATTGGTTTATTGCCAGACATTTCAATTTCTATAATATATACAATATCACAACACAGGTTTGTCTTTGTACAATTTTCAACCCTGAAGTTGGTTTCTGCCACGAATTTGCTGCATGTTCTGAACCCATTCCCAAGGTGAATGACAGAGGACTTATAGGTGGTTAGAAATGTTCAGTCAAGAATAACACAAGTAACTAATGTCCATCTGAATGTAGACTCTAGAAATACGATGTTTGAGGCATAGATGTTCTTCTGCAAGGTCGTCATTGAGAACAGCTCGCAGGGCTTGATTCCCCCTGAACACTACCTGCACCAGCTCATGCCACCATGAGGGAGTGGTGTGGGGGGGTTCCCTCAGCCCACCTGCAGCTCTGGGGCAGGGGGAGGGTGTGCTGCCGTGAAGCCGAAGTTACGCTCTTGCAAGAGGACGTCCTTAGCTCTTACTGGCCAGCCCCTGCCACTCTCTTCAACTCTGAGGGCTGCGGTGCAGTCCCTGTCCACTTTTAGCGGATGTTCAAAGTTCTGGGTGTGTTATCTGAAGCAAGTGGCCTTAGTCTTGTGAAGCTGCTGGGCCCGACTGGCTCCCTAGGGTTTCTAGGCTCTATAATGGAATTCTACATGATGTCCTATTTTTAATGCACTTGAAAGCTCCTCTTGAAAGGAGCATCCTGCCTAGATCCTGAAGACTGCTTGTGTCTTCAGCATGTAGAGAGAATGGCATTTACACTGAGGAGCTTCCTCTTGGATTTGGCTGCTGTCCACATGGCTGGTTCTGACTGCAGGCATCCCTCCAGCCTTTCCTTGGAGGGAGCCCACCCTAGTGTCTGTGTAGAGAAAGCAGCTCTTCCGCCAAACTGCAGGGCTTTGCACAAAGCACAGTGTCATGGTGTCCCATTCAGCAACAGACTATCTGACTACATTCTCCTCTCCATAGAGTCTGTTGACTGTATCTAACCAACTGACTTCTACCTAGCCACACTAGGAAAGATCTAAGTTGAAATGTGGTTATCCTTAATTGTAGCAAAATATGTAAAAAGACAGAATGATGGCCAATGACTAGAACAGTTACTTTCTGGATTGGATATCCATGAAATTACTGTAAAATTGCACTTGAACAAATCATTATATTCTTGCATTAGAGGAGTAATATTTGGAATTTCAAATATGCCAGAGAATTGAGACACTCAATTTGCATGTCCACATGGTCTCCAGAATGGACAGATTCCGTGGTCTGCCTGTGTCCCAGGAATGGCCTGCTCTCCACCATCTGCCGTGGCTTGCTGTCAGGCAGGCATCCCCTCTCCGCTCTCCAGGTGACTGTGGTTACTTAGTTGGTCTCTCCTGAATCTCACCTTGTCCATTCTGTGCTTCTACTGGAACTCATCCTGTCGCCTCCTTCTTTGCATGGCCAGTCCTGCCCAGCAGCGTTTTGAGATGTCATCGTGCCCAACTCCCAAATCCAGAGAATGTAACTGAGCATAAGTCCAATTCTTGTTCATGTATTGTTTGAGTTAGTCATTCAGCTCGTGGCTTCTTACTCCACGTGGATTCCTTAGGGATCCAGGGTTCCGGGGTCTCAGTGCAGCTGGGTAGTGATGGAGGGAAGGCTAAGGGACTGTGCTACAGGTGAAACTGCTCCCTTCTTGCACTCTGAGGTCCCAGTTCAGTTACAGAGTGAGCCTGAATGCCAGGGAATGTGCTGAGTGTGTACCCACAACCGGAGGGCAACTTGGGAGAGCTCAGGGTCCAAGGACGTGCCCAGCTCTGACGTAAACTGAGAAGTTAGAAGTTGGGGTGGGGATGAGCTGAAGCCAAGTTTCATAGGAGATTCTCTCCGTGTGTCACAATCTGAAAATCACTAATAAAATGCAGATGCTAGCTCCAGTCTTTCACACTTGGCCTCTGCCCATCGTGCCCCTCTGTGTAGCCCCATGTCTGCCATGGCCACCAGGTCAGCTCCAGATTCCGTTTCTTGTGATTTACTGCTTCCATCTCCGAGGTGGGACTGACGGCCCTTGCGCTGTGTTTGGGGTGGCAGTCCTTTCATCCAGGATGGAGTCTGTAGATGCTGTTCTGTATGTCAGAGTGTAACTTTCCTGCGATGGAGGAGGCATTCTATATTGGTCATGTTTAAAATCATACTTTCTTTTTTTTTTTTCAAAGATTTATTTTTATTATTTTTTCATTGGAAAGGCGGATATACAGAGAGGAGAGACAGAGAGGAAGATCTTCCGTCCAATGATTCACTCCCCAAGTGAGCCGCAACGGGCCGATACTATGCCGATCCGAAGCCAGGAGCCTCTTCCGGGTCTCCCACGCGGGTGCAGGTTCCCAAAGCTTTGGGCCGTCCTCGACTGCTTTCCCAGGCCACAGGCAGGGAGCTGGAAGGGAAGCGGGGCTGCTGGGATTAGAACCGGCGCCCATATGGGATCCCGGGCGTGCAAGGCGAGGACCTTTAACCACTTGCGCCACCGCGCCGGGCCCTAAAATCATACTTTCTTACTGAATAAAATTTGGGTGGGCAATTATGTGCATTGAATGAAGTAATGTGGCCCTCTGACACTCTTAAATTCCCTCCCCAATAGATGTTATAGGAAAATAGATGCTGCCGGTCCAATCCTTAAGGGGAGGTAGAGGCAGGTCTTTTTTTTTTTTTTTTAACTTGATGAGAACTAAAGTTAAAAATCCAAAAACAAAAAATAAAATCCAATTAAAGGGGAGTATGCCATTTGAGCCAGAAAAATCTGCAAAACGCAATTGAAGGCCGGGGGAGGAACTGAGACCCAATTCTGGAGACAATAGAGGTACAGTTTGTAAGAGGAGCAGCCCATCCCAGGGCAGCTGGAAGTCCTACGCTGCTGCCCCCGGACCTCCACTCCAGGTGTGTGCAGGTGGACTGGCTGCTGGCCTGGCCAGGCAGTTACCCTAAGATGCGAGTCTCTCGTGCTGCTCAGCAGTGTCCGCCTTCACAGCTCTGTGAGTGCAGATCAAGCACTTGGGGGCCCGCAGGCAAGGCAGGGCAGTGAGCTGGGATCACGGGGCAGGTTTGCAGTGTCCACATGTTGCTCTCTGGAAGTCAAGCTTGAAAGACAAACACGAGTTGGAAGTGTTAAAGGCCAAATGAGCTGATTATAGCTGTGCCCTCGCAGTGGGCGTCTCAGGGTTCCTGTGCCCTCGCAGCGGGCATCTCAGCTGTCTCAGGGTTCCTGTGCTCTCGCAGCGGGCATCTCAGGGTTCCTGTTTATGTGTTGGAAACATCAATTATTCCCATTTGGAATATGTGCTTCTGGCCATCAATTGCTTTGGGTCGATGTGTGGAATTATTCATGAAAGAGTTATATTTTAGTGGCTTTTGATGAGAACTGGCAGCAGCTTCCATTAATCTGATTAGTTGTGTCTGATCTGGAAGGGGATCCTGGCTCACAGCCACGAGTGAATCGATAATGCTGGGTCTGAGAGTGTGAATCCCTGGCCGGCCCAGGATTTGTCCCCTGGTGGTGTCAGAGGGGCACCAGAGCATTAGGGAGGAG